TGGCACTTCAGACTTATTTTTTCCTCAAAAGTTCAATCCTGTCTTCTGTTGACTTGGCATTAATCCTGGGTTACCCCCTGTTGTCCTAGATTCTTCTATTTCATGTTTTTCTTATTTCCTAATTGCTTTGTTCTTTCTGATTTCCCCCAAGTAATTTTTTTCTTTTCAGCTCTCTTCCTTTCTCAGTCCTTCCTGTATTCTCAGCTCTTTCCCTTCTACCTTATTTTCCAAGTTTTTAGCCTTTTATTTACCAATGATTTGATAAGCTTGAGGTAACTGACTACTCCAAAGCTGGCCTACATTTTCCCTTGTGCTGTCAATCTAGTCTCGATGGTGGTCTTTTCCCCTCAGGTTCCTTTTGGAAGTTTTAGTATTTCTTGAATTTATGGCTCATTACCAATTCCCCTAATCTTTGCCCAATCTAGTCTGACTTCCCTCACCAGCCAGGGACAACTTGAACTTGATCTCCTCCATCCTGAAGTTTAGTTGGGTTTCTCTTTGATGTGATGCATACATACAGGTCCACCTGGTTGGTATTGACATCTTTACTGGGAAGAAATATGAAGATATCTGCCCGTCAACTCATAATATGGACGTTCCCAACATCAAAAGGAATGATTTCCAGGTATGTGGATGGTCTTGGTGTAGGGTTAGTCAGTTGGGGTGGGGGCGCAGATACTGATTGATCAGAAGAGCTTGTGCTGGGAGGAGAGGGTATTTGGTATGTCAGACCCTGTCTCCTCAACCTTCAGCTTTCTTCCCTCTTTTCCCCCAGCTGATTGGCATCCAGGATGGGTATCTATCACTGCTCCAGGACAGCGGGGAGGTGCGAGAGGACCTTCGTCTGCCTGAGGGAGACCTTGGCAAGGAAATTGAGCAGAAGTACGACTGTGGAGAGGAGATCCTGGTATAGTGCCCCACCCACTTTCTTTTGTGCCCAGCTTTGTTCCTTGTGCTTGGTCCCTGAGCTCAGACTTCTGATTCTCCCTTTTGCTCCCTGAAGATTACAGTGCTGTCTGCCATGACGGAGGAGGCAGCTGTTGCAATCAAGGCCATGGCAAAATAACTGGCTCCCAGGTAAGTGTGACAAACTCCCCCTCAAGTCCCCTTCACATACTTTGTGGATGCTTTAATCTTAATTGTTCTAGGCTTTCTGATCCCTAAGCCTTCCTCCTGTTAAAGGTATTATCCTGTCTTACCTGGTTTCTCTTTTGTACTCAGGGTGGCGGTGGTGGCGCAGTGATCCTCGAGCCTGCAGAGGCCCCCTCCCCCAGCCTGGCTCAGCTCTGGCCCCGGCCCTTGGCTGGACTCCTACACAATTTATTTGATGTTTTATTTTGGTTTCCTCCACCCCCTCAAACTGTTGGGGAGCCCCTGCCCTTCATCCTGCTCCCTTGGCCAGGAGTGAGCGAGCCATGGCCTTGGTGAAGCTGCCTTCCTCTTCTCCCCTCACACTACAGCCCTTGTGGGGGAGATGGGGTGGGTGCTGCTTGTGGTTTAGGTTTTTTTTTTTTTTTTTTTTTTTTTTTAAATTCTGGAATCAGCTGTGGATTCTGGCAAATGGTCCGTGTGCCCTCCCCCCCACTCATCCCTGCTCTGGTCCCTTTTCCGGTCCCTGTTCCTATAGCCCTTTACCCCAAGCACCACCCCCACAGACTGGGGACCAGCTCCTTCCCCATGCCTATGTCTCTCCCCAAATCCCTTTAGCAGGAGAGGGAAGAGGAGGAGAGGAAAGGGGACCTGCCCCCCTCCTCAGGCATCTGGGAGGGCCCTGCCCCTATGGGCTTCACCCTTTCCTGTGGGCTCTCACCCTGACACATTTGTTAAAATCAAACCTGAATAAAACTACAAGTTTAATATGAAGCCCCAACTTGGCTACTTTGAATAAATGGGTACTTGCTAACTAGAAGGGAAAACTTGGGAACCAAAAATAGATTATAGATTAGACTGTGACAATGAGTTCATCACAATCAACCCACTGTCCCTAGTCTGGGAACACTAACTTGCCATGGACCTGTTACCTATCCCCCACCCTTTAAGCAGCCCTGGCCTAGTCCAGGTGGGGGTGAACACAAACAGTAGTAGCCAGGGGCAATGGCAGATAGATTTTATTGGCCTAGGACATACCAGGGACTCTCACCCAAGGTAGGGGGTGGGGTGAGGTTGAAGATGAAATCTGATGGTCACTTGTGATAGAATCTTGGGTTCTGGCTGTGTTGGAGGAATGGGAGCCGGGGGCCAGGTTGGCTAGTAGCAGCAAAGCTGGACTGGTGGTGATGAAAGGGGGGTTTGTCAGTGTGCATGTTCTCCCTTCTGCTCCACACCCATATAACCACCCCCAAGGAAGAAGGGAAAACCATGGGTGTGGGCCTGTCCTACCCAATCCTGTTTTCCATGGTACTGCAGAGACTATGACAGGTACGATTATCACCCTTACCTTCCCTGCTGGTTGCATCTGCACAGGGAGCTGGGGGGAGGCGAGGAGTCCAGGGGCTGGATGTAGAGCTTGGGGATGCATGGGGCGCAGGGAGGACTGCAGAGAACAGAGTCAGAACCTGTGGCAGCCTGGGGTTCCCCATAGCAAAACCCTTCCCCTGATCTCCCAAGCTCCACACTCACTGAGTCAGAGAAGCCAGTTTGCTGGTTAGCATGTTCCATTTGCTTTTGTAGGGACAGGGCACCACCAGGCTGGAGGAACCCTAGGTGGGAAAGAAGGGTGTGTGAAGTGAGTAGAGAACGGGAAAGGGAGAACTTGTGGAACCAGGGTCCCTGAATGGGGTGTTATCACCTGTCTGGGTGGGCTGGAAGTGGCTGTGCACAGCATAGGGCTGTGGCTGTGGCTGAGACAAGTACTGCACTGCAGGAAAGGCTGAAGGTGCTGAAAAAGATAGGAAGCACAGCCATTAGAACCTCCCTTTAGTCTGTTCACAGCACTCTAACCCTCTGGGCCTCGAAAGTACCCCCTCCCCTCTTTTCCCACCACTCACCTCTGAGCTGCTGACTAGGGCTATAGGCCGGTTGAGCGGGTCCATAGTGAGGTGGGGGCTGAGCAGTCCCATAGGCACCACCTGGGCTGCCTTGGAACTGCCCGTGCTCTGGGGTCCCTGTGAAAGCTGCAGAGCCCACATAATGCCGGGTCTAAGGAGGAGGAGAACTCACTGTAAACTTGAAAGCAGAATCTCAATGGACTGTGTGTGCTCCCATTTTTCTCCGTACATGTCAGTGTCACACTCACTGCTGGAATAGCGGTTTAGCAAGGTGGTGGAAGTAGTAGGGGAAACACCAATCTGACTCCTCTTACTGTAAGCACTTGGGGTCCGAACATCTGTTTGGCTCTGTCCGCTGCCATGAGGGTGCCTGGGCGATTGTGTCCTCCAGGGCTCCCTAGAGAGGGAGAGGGGCTTCATGATGCTGAAGTGCAGTCTACAAGACCCAGGAGGGCCCACGGGCAGGTGGTTCCTGTAACCCTCACCCTGCATGCTGAGGAGATGAGTTCCCGTGTGAACAGTCAGGCTCTGTGGGTATGCGGCTGATGTCAGAGTCGTCAAGTCACTAGAGGGAAAGGAAGGCAGGTCAAACATCAAGGACAAGTGCCCTCTTGCCACAAACACCGATCTTTTGTTACATGACTCCATCTATACGTTTTGCCCAATTTTAATTTTAGCTCCAATCCCACCTCTGCTCTTTTCGCCTCCGTTTTTCTTCCTCATGTAAAACTTTCTTGAGCTGCAGGAAAAGCTGGTGCTTCTCCTCCTGAAGGGCCAAAAGCTTCTCTTGCAGCTTCAGGATCTGGAAAAAGGGAGGGAAAAGAAGAAGGTAGGAGAGCCAAGGGAAGAAAGCGCTGGGAAAGATGGACTACACATACCTGTTCTTTGGTTTCCTCTAAGGACATTCTCTCTTCCATCTCCTTTTTCTTTCGTCTCTCCTGCTCTTCCTTCATCTTCTGTTCCATCATCTTGTCTACTTCTTCTTCCTCTGGAGGAAGGGTCACACAGGGAAAGGGGCAGAATGGTTAATTAGAATGTTAGAGACTGAAGCCAGCAAAAATGGTTATCCCAGTGATCTCGATAAGAGGCTTCCGATCACTGCAGGGGGACGGAGAGGTAAGGTTCACTAGGTGCTCTCCAAGGTCCTTCCCGGCTGAGGAATTCTGCAGGTCAGACCTGGCGGCTCGAACTCCCACCACCACGGGGCTGTTCCACCCCCCTCCTAGCTTCTGCCGCCGCCGCTGCACTGATCGGCCCGAGGGTGGGGCCTGGAACAGCGGTGTCCACGGGTGTGTGCCCTCCCGCCTTGGCCCCGGCTCACCCTGCCGCTTGCGCTCCCGCTCCATCATGATGTGCCGGTGCAACGCCCTGGCCATGGCGTTGGAAAGCTTGGGGCGCTCCAGGAGCGCAGGCATGGTGCTGCCGGGGGCGCACGGGCCGTGGGCGCCCGGCTCTGTCGCTGACTGCCAGGCCTCGGACTGGGCCTGCGGGTAGCGAGCGCTCAGGGACAAGCGCGCCTGCTCGGCCGAGACCGAAGTCCGCCCACCGCCCCGGTCACGTGTCGGGGACCCACCGCCCCGCGCCGCCCGACCGCGGGGCCGCCCCCCGCTGCTCCAGCGCGCACGCGCGCGTAGGGGTCTCTAGCCTCGGGGCTCTCGCCTCCGGCCCCACCGGCCGCGACCCCGGCCCCTCCCTACCCTCTTTCTCCGCGCTTCGCTCCGCACTGCGCGCCTTGGCCATACGTCACATCCGGTAACTGGGCTTAATCCTTCCGGGTTCACAGCAGGGGCTTTAAGGGTTGGGCGGAAGGAAAAGGCGGAAGTGTCGAGGACGGGTGCCTGTGGCGTCCAAACTCCTCCACTAGGCCCGCCCCACGCCGACCAGCCCTGGACTCCCATTCTGGTCCCGCGGTTGGGCCCGACGAGGCGGGCCAGGAACCCCCTTAGGAAGTGCAAGAGGCGACGTAGGTGCTCAGAGACGGTGTTTATTGGCTCCTTCGAAATCAGAGTCATGACAACTGTACAGAGGACCCAGCCCCTCCACTGCGCCGCCCTTCCCCTTTCCTGCCTGCTGCCGCAGGAAAAAGCAGCTTCGTGTGGGGCACAGGGAGACTCTGGGATTCACAGTAACCAGGAACAAAAACGGAAATAAATTAAGTGATACAGGGGAGGGAGTCAGAGGGAGTCGTGTTCCCCAAATCAGTGCATGAAGAGGGGTTACCCAGGGCCTGGAGCCGGGTTCCCCACCAGCTCCTCCACTGCAGAGGGAGTGTTCTGAGGCCCTGGACATGGAGATGTCCTCCACTTCCCACCTAAATCTGAGACTGCCTCCATGCTCCTGTGCATCTGCCAGAATGAGCACCGTGCATGCTGTGGGTCACTGGAATGAGGTGGAGGCAGCCGTCACTCAGAGTCCACGGGCCCAGGGCCCAGCTGTGCTTGTCGTAGTGAGGTCTCACTCCCTCATTCCACCCGTACCAGCAGGGCATAGAGGAGTGTGGCCCCCTTCTCCTTGGTTACCCACTCCAGTTCGGCTGGGCTGAAGTGAGGGTCAGGAGGCTCTCTGAGGATCGCGGAAGGAGGGCCGGGGGTGTAGGAGCCAGGGCGCACACACACCTGGAACGCCACCTGGGCCTGGTGTGTCCGCTGAAATTTGGGGTCCCGAAATCTGTCAGGCAAAAAGCAGAAATAGGGTGGTGAGGCCTCTGGCCACAGTCACCTCTCCTAACTGCAACTACACGGGCCTTGCTAGTCCTAGGAATCACTTCTACTTTACAGGGACTGGCTCTAGCTGTTCTCTCTATTCTAAATGGCCTTCTTCCCAATGCCTGCTCAGCTAACTCCACCTCTTCTCCAGCCTTTGCTCAAATCTCACCTTAATGATATCTACCCTGACAACCCTTTTTAATATGCCTGCTCCAACTACACTTTCTAAAAAATGTTTTTATTTTAGAGAGAGGAGGGGGGGAGGGAGATAAACATCAATGATGAGAATCATTGATCAGCTGCCTTCTGCATGCCCCCTAGTGGGGATCCAACTCACAACCCGGGCATATGTCCTGACCAGGAATTGAACCGTGACCTCCTGGTTCATAGGCGAATGCTCAACCACTGGGCCACAATGAGAAAGGGCTGGGTGGAGACTGAGGAACTAGCAAAACAAGATGGGAAAGGAGAGAGCAAATCATGGAGACCCAAGTGGCCCTGGGGCCACCTCCTGTGTACTTACTGCACTTTGGATGCCAGGGTCTCGGCCCCAGCATATTGGAGGGAGGGAGAAAGCAGCACTGGAGGGGGCTGCTCCTCCCGAGGAGGAGCACAGTTCTCACCCGGCTCCTCAAACCCTCCCCTGGGCTCTCCCTTCAGGGGCCGGCAGCTCAGGATGGAGGCAGTACCTGTGAGGAGAACTGGGTCAGAGTAGCCCACAGGCTCCAGCCCACAGGCCCAGCCTGCTCCGATTCTGTCAGAGCTACAGTACCTGCTCCCAACTCCCCTCGGTCCAGCACCCTCCGGATGGCTGCCACATTGCTGCCGTGATATGCCATGTGCCACTTCTTGGTTAGTGTCCCAGCCTCCAGGTGAGGATTCACTCTAGGGAGTGGGCAGATAGGCAGATGGGACAAAGGTTACTGGCTCCCCAAGGTCATCCCCTAGACATGCAGTTCTGTCACTTCCATGCACCCTCTTGGGACCTTCCTTTTTCAAGGGGGCAAAGAACAGTAAGAGAGAGACAGGCCCCATATGTACCTGAGGTTGAACCTGCACCAGCCAAAGGGCAGGGCGTATTCCCGGGGAGGTTCCCCACGGCGCCTGTGGGCTTCGTCCCCGCGCATCTTCCGGCAAGACTCACAGTAGCACAGGCTACGCTTTGGTTGAGGCATGAAATAATCCTCTGTGGGAGAGTAAGTGGCAGACTTGGTGCTATGGCTCCTGTCCTGGGTCTCAACTACACAGCCTCCTCTGACTGGTCTCTAGGGCTCTCACTGGTCCAGGGAGTGAGGCAGATTCTAGGGGACTGGGGCCTCACCAGGAAGCAGCAGCAGTTCTTGGAATCGGGAACAAAGGGCATGGTACTCGCAGCTCTTCAGAGGGCTGGCAGCAGACGGTGGGCCCCAGCACACACTCTCCTTGATCCCTGAGGGAGCACATGTGGCACAGGTCATGGGAGATGGGCTAGAGGTATGGGGTGGGGTAGGATCCTGGTCCCTTTGGGCTGGCTCACCATCCACCATGTCCGCTTTCTCCATGTCCCCTTGGGTTCCAGTACTCTTCAAACTGGCAGCTCCTGGTTCAGGGCTCACAATGGTCACCTGCAGCACAGAGGGGTGGTCAGCCAGTGTCACCAACCTCTAGAGCATCAGTTCTCAACCTGTGGGTCGCGACCCCTTTGGCGGTCGAACAACCCTTTCACAGGGGTCGCCTAAGACCATCCTGCATATCAGATATTTACATGACAATTCGTAACAGTGGCAACATTACAGTTATGAAGTAGCAACGAAAATAATTTTATGGTTGGGTCACAACATGAGGAACTGTGTTTAAAGGGCCAGAAGGTTGAGAACCACTGCTCTAGAGCCTCCTGATCTCTTCCTTGATCTTGGACAGTCGTCTCCAGACCCTCCCTCCTCCCGGCCTTCATTGCCACTAACCTGCTCACATTGCCCATAGAGGTCCACGAGCGCATGGCAGGGCTGGGGGACGTCTGGCACAGCCACCCCCTGGTCCCTCCCATTGACATGGAGATGCAGTCCCCCAGAGCTGTCGAGCCGCAGTCCCAGGACGGTGCCTTCAGGACACGTGTCCAGATTTGGCCCAAACTTCTCGCAGATCTGGGAGGGAGAGATCTACTGTCTTCCCAGAGAGCAGACTCCCACCAGCAGCAGCACCCGCACCCTTCCCTCTGCTGCAGGTCGCCAGTCCCTGGGCTCTCCCCCCCCCCCCCCCCCCGCCCCCGCTTCAGTGACCTCCCCTTCCCCCCACTGCAACATTCTCAATGTTACCAGCATAGGAGGCAGCAAGCCCGAGACTGTCCAGATAACGATACTTGCGCCCTCATGTGAGTCCACTCACTACAGTGCCCCTTCATATCTGTGATCCTACCTCCAAGCTTGGGGCCCCTCTCCTTCTTTTTGGCCAGCCCCTCCCTACTCAGAGACCTGGCCTCTTGCTTCTCCCTGCTCCCCACCCACCTTGAGGCCATTGTGGAAGACCCCATGGCCCCGCAACAGCCAGGCTGCCCGTTTAAGGGCACAGGCAGACGCAGGGAAGTTAAGCCTCTCCGGTGGGCAGGTGATGACTCCCAGGACAAGGGAAGATGTCCACTGGCGGTTCAGGAAGTCTATCCGCACCTGGGAGAGAAGGCAGCTACTCCCAGCCATGGCCGCCTGGGGAAGAGGCCACCCACCCAGCACACCCCGCTCCCCACACCAGCCAGGGAGGGAAGATGACATCTCCCAGGCTGTGGCCTGGGATGCTGCCCCTTCTAACGCTTGGAGGGACTGGAAACTGCAAATTCAGTTATTTCCTCTCCTCTTTCCGCCTTGGTCTTGCTGTGGACTCTGTAAGGATTCTTGTTCCTCAAGGCTCCCTTCCCCTGGCTAACCGTGACATCTTCAGTTTGCAACGACAGGGCCCTCTGGAAAGCCCTCCCTGCTCCCATATACAGGACCCGGCATCTTCCCTGGAATACCCCAGCTCCTCCCTGCTGCTTCCCTCACCAGGTACCAGGTGGGCACTGACCTGCAACTCCCACCACAGGGTATAAACAGAAGCCTGGGAAGGTCATTCAAGGGACATGCCTTTCACTGTCCTCAATCTGGAAAGGCCTTGCTCCAGGAAGGTTGGCCCTGGGTCGCCCTGAGCAAGAGTTGCTGGGGACAAGAAGGGGACAAGGAAGGCCCACCTGGACCAGCAGCTGGGGCGCCAGGGGCTGACTGATGACAACAATGCCCTGGTTGTAGCTGGCCACCCGCGTAGCTGTCCGGTTCCCATTGGACAAGAGGATATTCTTCCCATGGTTCTCCAGGAATTCAAGGGCTGTAGGCATAATGGACACGTGATCCTCGCCCTGGTGTGGAGGAGAGACTGAGCTGCTAGGGCTGCCAAGGTGAGGCCCAAGCCCCCACTAGAGTTCAGAGCTTCTGTGCATAGGCTTCTACCCATCCTGGACAGGACTGGAGAACCCAAAAATAATCTGGTGGCCAAGGGCCCACCAACTGCTCGTCCATGTGCCCAAAGGGCCCTGCTGCAGCCTCTTACTCCCAGGCCGTGTTCCTCGTCCTCATCGTCTTCATCACCCTCGCTTCCGGTGTCCGAGCTGGGGGAAGGAGGCTGGGTGCCTTCTGGCTCCTCCAGCCTTGTGGAGCTGACAATAGACACACTCCGCACTGGCCCGTACAGATCCAACACAGCCCACACGTTCTGGAGGCACACAAGACCCAGGAAGTTGGAGATGAGTGAGGACCTCAACCCACTCCCAGAATTCAAGGCAAGTCATGGGTCTACCTTGGCAATGCCAGTGGCTGCAGGCCCCATGTCCTCTCCATCTACCAGGATGTGCATCGAGTCATCTGCCCCCCGGCGAATGCCCACACGGCTCCCCACCTAGGACCGAGGTGAGATAAGGACAGATGCTCGGCCCACCTCTCTGCCATCCCAACTCCCAACCCCACCCTTATCCCCAGATCCAGCTGCTTCACCCCCAGCCTCTCTAGGTTCCGGCCATAGTTCATCCTCTGGAGCAGCCCGTCACGCCTCACTTCACAGCTGGACACCATCCAGGTGGTCTTTGTCCGGAGCTCTGGCAGGGAGGGAGGCACCCCAGGGCCACCACCTGCTCCAGGCCCCATCTCCCCTGGAGCCAGTGTTGTTAGCCCTATCCGGAGGGAACCTGCCCACTTCTCATCCAGCTCTTCCACTTTCACCTGTGTGAGAAAATATGAGCTTGCACTAGATGGGGCAGGGGAAGGGGCAGGTAGGAAGCAGTCTGGTCCTGCTGTGAAGGGCCTGGAAGCCTCCTTTGTCATATCTCCACAGCCCACCTCAAAGACTTCCTCAGTCTTGAGCTCCTTGGTGCTAAAGACAAGGCCATGAGCATAGCCAGCTGCCCGCACCGCCCTTGTGCCATCTTCCTCCAGAGTGACATTCTTGCCGCAAATACTGTGGAATCGGTGAGCCACGCCAGCCACTGCGGAAAGATGGTGCCGAAGAACAGAGTAGAATTGGGGCAGCAAGCTTTAGATCGCACACAGAGCAAAGCTTTCAGGTGAAACAGGAAGCTGACATAAAGGTCCCACCTGACATCACCCCTTTAAGACACGTGACACCTCTTTTCACCACATTAAGACTCATCCCCAAACCTGGTGGACCCAGCTTATGGTGTCCTAGCCCCTTAGTGGCAGGGAAGCATCCAGGCCCTGGGTACCAGGCATAACCCTGTCCTCTTCCAGGCTGCTTCCCACCATGGGATGCTCCCTCCCCTCTGCCTGCAGCTGCTGCAGTCAGTCTGTCTTGCAACAGCTTCCCTGACCCAGAAGCTGTCTCTCTCAGGCGCACAGCAGTCCAGCAGAGCCCACCCTCCCTCCCTGCTGGCTGAACCTGGGGAGTGCAGGGGGAATGACTTCTCAGTGGCGGTGTTGCTGGTTGCCAGGCTGTTGTCCATGGGGCCGGTAGCATTGGTGATGGACACTTGGACACACTGGCCATAGAGATCCACAACCGCATACACCTCTGGTAGGAAAGGAGGAGTCAGAACCTTGACAGCCTCAGGGCTAGGCTGAGGGGGCAGGCCGAGAGCCACAGAATAGTCACCTTTACCCGGAGGCAAGCCTGAGCAGGCAGCGCCCTGGTCCTGGCCGTTGATGAAGTAGTGCAGGTCGCCCTTGGAAGTCCGCATCATGCCGATGCGTGCACCTGTGCCCAGCGCATCGAGGTCGCACCCGTAGTTGTTGCGCATTGTGTTACCATCTTGCATGATGGCTGTGCCACTGGAGGGATGGCCAAAGGGGGAGTTCAGCCTCCCAGCTTCCTCCCCACACAGGTCCCTGCCCAGTCTCTGCTGTCAGAATCTTCCAGGGCCTTGGATTAGCATCTCAATCTGGGGTCTGAGACCCAATCCTGTCTCCTACATCCCTGGGATCTCTCTCATGAAAAAGTAATAAATACCCTGAGGAAGGAGGGCTGAGCCGTGTGGAAGGAGGGAGGTGAGTTCCCAGAATTAAAGAGAAGAGGTAGCCAGATCCCCTAGTCTATCACAGAAGCAGGCCTGAGACCCTGCTTCCCTTGTCCCAGCCAGCTCCACCCAGTCCCACCCAGCTGGTCCCAAAGCAAGCAGCCCAACCTCAGCATCCAAGTATCGTAGTCAATGTCTGTCATAGTGTTGGGGAATTCAAGGTCCTCCGGCCGAATAGCAGTCACTCCTGTGAGGAGGCAGGGTTAGGTCAGAGCCAAGCCCCCAGGCATAGGCAGGCAGGCACCTCCCACAACAGACAGACACACACACACACACACACACACAGACACAGCTGCCCCTCACCAGCCTCAATGGAGCCTGACCAGCGGTCCACCATCTTCTGAATGACAATTTCAAACAGCTCTCCATCCCGCAGGGCCCTGCCCAGGAGAATGGCGATCAGACAGGCCCTATTGGGTTGCTGAAGCTGGGCAGTAGGAAAGTGGGGACATCCCAGTCCAGACACTGACCGGTTGGAGATAACAATGGCATCATTGAACTCGCTGCGGCAGTTGTGACGGAGCGCAGTGCGGCCGCCGTTAGTGATGACGGCGTTACTGCCGTGCAGCTGGTGGAAGCGGAGGTCGGAGCCCCCCGCCCCTGAGGATGGGGAGCTGGGAGACACCTGGTTGTTCCCCTCAGGGAGTGGCTCAGGGACTGGGGTCACCTCTGCAAGAGGGGACATCACCTATTAGGCATACAGTTGTCTCTGAGGCCTCAGGAGGCCACCCCCCCGTCCTGCCCCTGCCCAGCCCGGCCCTCACCCACGTCGTCCACAATGGTGGCCTGGGCAGCCTGGCCGTAGAGATCCACAACAGCATAGACACCCGGGGGCACATTCCAGGCAGCAGGGCCCTGAGTCATCCCATTGACAAAGAAGTGGAGAGTCCCGTCCTCCCTACGAACCACGCCCACCGTGTCCCCTGCCTTGGAAGAAGGGGGGCTGGAGTGAGGAGTCAGGCAGAGTCCCTGCCGGGGCTGGTCCTGCGGCAGCCCCCCCGTGTCTACTCCCCACGGTTGAGACCTGCCAGCACACCCACTCTCCCACCTTGAGGCGGTCCAGGTTGTGCCCATATTCATCCAAGATGGTTGTCCCATTGTGCATCACCCCATTCCCAGTCATCATCCAGGTCCCTAGGGGTCAAGGAGTGGCAGAGGACATGAGGGAGAAGCCAGGACGCCTCTCCTTTGTAGAGCAGCCCCCACGTTATTCCCCGGAGCCTTTAGCCCAGCCTGCCTCTTCTCTGACAGTCGGCTTTTCCCCAGAGAAAGACAAGAAAACTGCTGTTCTCACGCCAGCCACAGGCCCTGTCCAGGGGCCTCCTCAGCCACCGACTCAGCCGTCACAAGTGTGACCAGGGGAAAGGGCTGGAGAACAAGCATCAGGCTGTGAGGACGGCTTCCTCCCTGGGACCCTCTTCTGGCCCTGCCCCTCTCAGGAGCTCACCAGAACGCAAGTTGGTCATGGTGGAGGGCAATTGGAGGTAGGCAGGGTTGTGGGTGGTGACACCAATCTCAATGGAGCCAGCCCATTTGTCCACCATCTTGTCGATGCGCACCTGGAATACCTCTCCGTCCCGCAGGGCTCTGCTGCTTAGCACCACGCCATGATTGAAGTCATCGGTGGCACTGAGGGCACAGCAAGTGGGGACTCAGACCCCCCAACACAAACTCTGAACGTGCCACATCTTTTTAGCCCAAGTCAACCAGATAAACATCATACTCAGAAGGCTCCCCCCTTTCTGTCCAGGACACCCCAGATCAGACTCCTTGTACCTCCCACTTCCTCCCCCTCCCCCCAATTCCATTAGAGCCCCTTCTGCAGGCTTTCCCCACCCCTTGGGCCATACTGGGGCCTCAGAGCAGTGCGTCCCTCGTGGGTGATGGCTGCCTTCTGCCCACAGTTGGGGTGGAAGAGCAGGCGCTCAGGTTCTGCCTGGGCAGCAGGAGCAGCACGGCGGAGAGCGCCCTCAGGGGACAGCGCCCGCAGGATGGCATTGTTCCTGCGCAGACGGTCACTGTGGTTGTTATTGTGGACGATGGTCACCTTCACTGCCATCCCGTACAAGTCTACCACACCATACACCACTGGGGGTGTCAACGGGGTAGCCACGCCTATGGGGGTGCAAGGCACAGGAATGGGGGGTAAGGGAAGAAGAGTCAAATACAGAGACGGAGTATCAAAGAGGCAGGAGGAGGAGGTACAGACCACCCCACCCGAAGCCCTGGCCCGCCAGCCCTCGCTGACTTCCCCTCACCTTGGTCAATGCCGTTAATGAAGAAGTGGAGGGCAGAGTTGGACTTCCTTGTGAGACCAATGTGGTCACCCTCCTATTCAAAACAAACAAAAAGGAACAGCCTGGAATTCATCCACAGTCAGGCTCCAGACAGTGTGGGAACCATGAGAACAGAGCCGTCCTGGAGTCTTCCCGCCACCACACCACAGGAAACAGCTCCAAAAGTTCTCCCGCCCTGAACGCTTCCTGCAAGCCAGTCAGTGCTGCAGCAAGTCACCTTACCACCATGAACTTGCTTAACGCCCGCAACAATCTGTAAAACACCCCTAACAGGCTCATTTTAGACTCTGCAGAAGAGAAAAAACTACCGAAGGGGTAAGCTTCTTGCCTCGGGTCACTATTACACGCGGCCAACCCGGAAGAGGCCCCGAACCCATCTGACTCTAAAAACTGAGTGCCTAACTGCTGGCAACCCTGCCTGCTGAGACAGAACGTTTAGCAAAAGATAACGGCCGTCCCTGGACTGCGGTGCCCGCCCTCACCTGCAGCTCATCCAGACTGAATTCACAGTACTCCCGGCGGGTGCCCTTGCCGTTGGTCAGGATCCCACAGCCGCTCATCATAATGGTGCCTAGGAGAAAGCACACGCCCTGGTTGGGGAACGAGTTTCCTTCCCCTCGGGTTCCCCAGGCCCCCAGCCGCGCCCCCTGCCAGTGGCCGGTACCTGACTGCAGGTTGGTCATGGTGGCTGGGTATTCCAAATTGTTGGGGTTGTGGGTGGTGACACCTATCTCAATGGAGCCTGACCACTTATCTACGAGCTTGTCGATGCGGATCTGGGGTGGAACATTAGAAGGGAGAGGTGGGCATGTAAATGTGGAGAATGGACTCTCAGCCCCTGGTCCTTCCCCAGTCCCCACCCTTCCAGTAGAAAGGGTCAAGCCCCACCCTGAGCTCCCAGAGGGGGAGGTGCCAGCCAGACCCCGGCTCTTGCACACCTCAAACATCTCGTTGTCCCGGAGCGGGCGGTTGGTCATGACAACCCCATTGTTGAATTCATCCAAGGGCCGGCGGCGCTCAGCCGTCTTGTTGCTGTTGCTGAGTTTGATGAGGGTCCCACACTTCTCATGGAAGAGCAGGGCGTCATTGCAAGTGGGCGTGGGGGAGGTGGCAGCACCGCTAGACCCTGCTCCGTCCCCTGCTGGCGGGGAGCTCAGGTTCACATTCAGGAGCCCCCCACTGTAGGCAGACAGGATGGCATTGCTCACCACCTCAGACAGCTCCACACTGGCGAAGTCTGCAGCAGCGGGACGAGAGAAAAGCTGACATGAGGCCCTACGCCCGGGTCTGCAGTGCTCTCCCTACCCCTCTCCGGAGGCCCCTCCCTCGTCCACCGCATGTCCCACTCCCCTTCCCGGGGCCTCCCGGACGCCCTCACCATTATGCGACTCAAGGCTGTTAGGAAACGTCTCCGGCCGGGCCTGCGCTGGGGACACCATGAAGGCTGGGAACCAGGCAGGATGGGAGGGGAATGAGGGTTCAGCCCCTGCTGCAGAGCCCACAGCCAGGAGACCCCCCTCCTCGAGCCCCTGCTCTCCCCGTCAACAGACTCGGGGGTCTGAGTGGCCCGGCTTGTCCCTCCGTGTCCCTTCAGCCATCCCCCGTGCCCGCCCCTCCACCGCGGCCCTCCCTGTGTTCTCACCTTCATCCCTGGAGGTCCCCTGTTCAGCCAAGGCAGCATCTTCAGGGGGAGCGGAGGGCTCGAGGGGAGGTGTGGGGATGGGAGTGGGGGAGCTGAAGCCTGGCTCAGGGGGCAGCACAGTGACTTGGGTGCACTTGCCATAAAGGTCCACCACGGCCCAGACCCGGGCCGGCAGGCCGGTGGCAGCCACACCACAATCCCGCCCGTTCACCCAGAGCCGCAGCTCCCCGGCCGCTGTGCGCTCCACGCCCACGCGGTCCCCTTCGCCAAGCTGGTCCAGGTCCTGACCATACTCCTCCAGCACAGAACGTCCATCCCTCAGCACCGAGCAGCCCGACACTACCCACGAGCCCCCCTTCAGCCCTGTGGCGCTGCTTGGGAAGTCCAGCACACTGGGGTCCAGTGCCGTCACCCCAATCTCAATGGAGCCACTCCAGGAGTTGACCTGTGATAGGGGTGGTGGACAGAGGCTCAGGATGGGCCACCGGTGGGCCGCCCACCACGAGGAAACCACAACTCACAGGCCGCTGTGTCCTCCTCTCCCCACCTCCCAGACCGCTTAACTGACCGTTCTCTCTCGGACACCAGAGACTACCCCGAGCTGCAGTCCCACGAGTGATTTTCTGCGCTAGGTCCACTCTGCCCTGCACCCGGCTCGGCGTCTGCGCCAGTCCGTTCCCCAGCGTGCTGGCTAATTTCCCGGCTCCAGCTCCCTGCCTCCTCTAACTTCGCTGGACCTGTGGCTCCTCAACACAAATTCACAGCTAGCTCTCCAGGTCCACATTCCTTGCTCCTGTATATCACCCCCCCCCCGCCCCCCCGCCCTAACTCTCTCCTAGGCTCTGGCTCCACTCAGATGCACTCTCTGCCCAAAGCCGTCTCTGTGCACCTGGCCTCCTCCCTGAATCGCACACACCTCCCACTCCGAGTAGCTCTCCCTACCCACCTTCCCCACCAGCCCGGAGTCTGTCCTTCAATGGTCGGCTCTTTCCTAGGTTCTCTCTCTTCCCTGCCCCTCACATCGCTGACATCTCTCCGTCCTCCATCTCCCAGAAACTGTCCGGGCTGGTCCCCTACTCCTTCTAGCGGGCGAGGCCCCGTGCCCCTTGCCTGCTCCTGGGTCTGGGGAGGCTCCAGCTCTCCCGGCTCCTCCAGGCCGAAAGCTCCTGCTTCACGCTCCCTCCCTGCACGTCGCCTGGCCTCTGAGTCTGTGGGTTCCCCCGCGGTACCCAATGTGGGGCTCCCTCCGGTCCCCTCCCACCAGCCTCCACATCTTGGCTTGGCGGCCCCAGCTCCGCACCTTGCGGTCGATGCGGACGGTGAAGACGCGTCCATCGCGCAAGGGCTCCCGGCTCAACACCAGCCCGTGGTTGAACTCCTGGCCCGGCTGCTGCCGCCGCGCTGTGCGCCCGCAGGCCGACAGGCTCACCAGGCGCCCGGTGCGCGGGTGCAGCTCCCCGCCGCTGCCCAAACCCGCGCCAGACCCCGGTCCCGGGCCGCTCCCTCCGGGGCCTCCACCCCCACCAGGCCCCGGCCCGGGGCCTCCCCCAGACCCCCCACTCCCACCCGACCCCGCCGCCATCGCCGCTGACGCCGGGGCCGCACGACAGCCGCGTTTGGCGGCACCGTAGCAACGGCGGTGCACAAACACCCTGAAGGAATAGGACCCGGGGCAGGGGCCAGATGTGCTTTACGGCACTGCCGGGCGCTGAAGCATCCCGGGCTGAGGGCTAAGGAATTAACGGCTACCCGGTGGGAACAGAAGGACGACGGGGTCGGAGGCTTGCTTTACGGCACGACGAGGTGATGGGGTGGCTCCGAGAGCGGGGAAGACTTGGGCTGGGAGTTTTTACGACAGTGAAAGAAACGACGGCCGCAGCCATCTTTACGACGGAAGGGGGTGCCTTTGCGACAGCGGCACCGACAGCCCCGCCTTGAAGTGTTCGCTTTACGGCAAGAGGAGGAGGTGTCTGCCCTCAAGCTACCAGCGTCCCGGCTGTGTGCACGCGAGCCGGGAGCCGGGAGCTTTGTACACGGAAACCTCTGCCCGCCACACCGCTGAGATCGGATGTGTCTTGCGACAGGATCGCAATCCCTCCGCTTTCCACCTTATAACACACCTCTCGCGAGAGGCCAGGCGGCGGACTTTTGGGGGAAAAAGGGCTTGCGGATGTTTCCAGTCAAGCCCACCTTGAACTCCAATTCATTCATACTTAGGTCTTAAAGCTACGAATGAAAAGCCCAACGAAACCCCGGCAGACAGTTTCAAGCAACAGCGCTGACGGCCCCAAAAGATTGCCCCAGAGCTATTAACAAGCCCCCCGCCCAACTCCGACGCTCGCGCTACGGTTGGATGACTGTGAGGTCACAAGGCTTCTCGCCCCCCCGCCCCCCCGGAGAAAAACCGGAACAAATCCCAGAGACAAAGATTTTTGAGGGAGGGGCAACGGGGCTCTCAGCCCGAGGTCCTCACGTAGTCTTTATTCCGCCCACCGCGACTCCAAGGAGCACAGGGGCGGGGCCCGGTCCTGGCCCCTGAGTCCCCGCCGGGCGCGGTGGGGGCGGGGCCGAGGGGCGGGGTTATGCGGGCAGGGGCGGGGTAGCTGAGAGTGGCCCCCTGGTGGGGCAATGGAAAAGCAGGAGTCTGGGGGGGCTGCTGGCAGTCTCACCCAGGAATCCCCTGGCGGGGCCACCAGGGAAGTGCCAGGAGGCATCACAGGAGTCGCGGCAGGCTCCGGGCTGCCCTCCGGAGTCGTCGCGCCGCAATGTTCTGGCCGCCCCGGAACAGTCAGTAGAGGCCTGGTTTCTAGCCTGCGCTCCGGAGTGGTAGCGGCTCCTGGTTCCAGGCCCAAGCAGCCTCCTGGGGAGGTTGTGGGCCACAGCCTTGCGCCTGGCACATACCCTGGCGGATTTAACGCCCCCATTCCTGGAACCTGTGCAGCCGGGACGTCTGACTTCGGGTCCAAGGGGTCTGGGGTGCACAACTCGGAATGCAGTCCGCGTTCCGGTTCAACTTCTTTGCACCCCCACAAACCCTATGAGGATCTGCCCCATAACATCCTAAAAACCAGCAACCACACCTTGATACAGAAACCCCCCAGTGCGGACAGGTGAGGAGCCCAGCTTCGTTCGCAGGCAGCACGGAGCAAGGAGGGAGGTTAGGACACTGGAGGGGCGGGGCCAGGAGGGAAGGGGCGGGGTCCTGGGAACTAGATGTGAGGGCCATGGAGTGGGAAATGTGAGGGTCCGAGCCTTTGGGAGAGCAGCAGGGCCTCTCGCTACAGAGCACGTGATTGTCCTTAGGTGTGACCCTCATCCCTAGCCTCCTGCTTCTCTGGAACGGCAAGGGGGGAGAAGAAGTTTCTGAATGACTGAAAGAATTAGGGAGAGTCCTAATTCTGAGGAGGAGGTCACTCGAAGGTTTCCTACCCCTTTTTTTGTGTCCTTCCCGGCTGCAGGAAAAAGTCTCAACACTGGGATGAAATGAATATCATGACCACTTACCACCCTGCTGACAAGGACTACGGATTTATGAAGGTGGATGAGCCTCACACTCCCTACCACAGGTGCGCTGAGCTTTCAGCCCTCATCCTTCAACCCACACTCTCTTACCTATTCGAAGGAGGGGAGGGGAGGGGGCGGAGAAGGCAGAGAGGCCTCAGGGACTGGATGCTACCTGAAACCCTCCTCTCTGCCCTGCGTCCTCCCTCCTCTGCAGGCTGTCACCGCAGGCCAGTGATGAGCCCTCCGTCACAGTGACTCCGGAGGCACTGAGGGAAAGGTAAGAGTGCTGCCAGAGATCCGTAGGGATGGGTGTCTTCCTCCTTCCACTCCTGAGCTCTGGGATCTGAGCCAGTTCTGCTTTTTTGGTCCCCTAAATGGGAGGTGCTGCCTTTCTCATCCAGCCAAGGCAGAGGTGGGGAGTCAACCAGCTGCCCCCATTGTCTTTTCACTTCAGGACTCCCAACTAGATTCCCTCCCTTTCAGGTTTGCAACAATGGACAATTTCTACCCCAAGGTCCTTCAGCACCCTGATAACAGAAGCTCAGGGTCTTCAGACTACTTTTCCAAAACACGTGAGATGAGGGGCGGGGACTGCATGGAAAGGGGAGGCGGAGTGAACCTTGAGCGGGAGCATGGCAGGAAAGCCGAGCTCTTAAACTGGCCCACAGACTCCAGTGGTTTTGAGAAGCACCGCAAGACACACTACAATGAAGGGAAGTTCCTCGTCGCTCAGAAAAACCAGCCCTCGGGTAATAAGAAGAAGAGCAACGGGGGTAGTGGAAGTTTGGGCAGTGGTGGTCGAGGTGCGATGCTGGGCCCAGAGGCCAGGCCTGTGGAGAGAGGCTGGGCAGGAGGACTGGCCAGAGGAGTCAAAGACAAGATTGGCCTGGTGACCAGGAACCACATCCAAGAAGCTGAGGGTTAGTAGCTGTGGTGGGGCTCCTGGGACTCAAGGGAATTGTAGTCCAGAGCCTTCTTCCTCCGTGTGCGTGGATTGGCCAAGGGCCCTGCTGCCCGAGGGGGAGGTAATGCTGGGAGGTGACCCTAGGAGAGACAGAGGGGCAGTGAGGTAAGTTCCCCGTCAGGATAGTCCCCAGGAAAGTCTGGCTGATGAGGAAGCACAGAAAACCCAAGAGACCTGTGGGGGATGGAAAGGTCACTAACGTTTTTCTAAAATAGAAGGAGGTATAGAGGTGAGATGAGAACCTGGGGCTTGAGCTCCTCCCCTCTGGTGGTGGGAGGGCCACAGTGGACACCTAGGGGCCTGGATCCCCTCGATGGCCATAAGACTCAGATGAATGTGGGTGACTCCTCAGATTCCTCTACCTTCAGAAATCAGTCCCCACCTCCGGCCATCATCGTGTCGGACAAGGAGGCTGATCTGCAGCGAAAGGAGTATTATAGCAAAGGAAGATACCTGAGGTGCTGTTCTCACCCGGAGCTTGAGGAGGACACGGAAGATGAGCAGCAGGACAGTGACAGCGACAGTGACAGTGGGTCCGGGTCAGCCTGGGGCCGGGAGGACTGAGAACTAACAGACTGATGGGTGCCCCAACCCTGATCCGGGGATGCTTCCAGGTTCTACAAGCTTGCGCTGGGCGAGTGAGAATTCCATAGGAACTGAGGTCCGCTCGCTGGACCACAGAGGAAGCCCCCTTCGGGATCACAGGCCATCGAGAACTCCCTGACAGTGACAGGGACACCATTACAGCCTGGTGAGGACACCATGCCACTGGGCCTGGCTCTTGGCAAGCTCCCATCTACCAACCCCTGACTCCCTTTAGGCCAGTAGATCTGCAACAGGTGCTAAGGCCCTAACCATCCTAGTGTGCAAGGGCCACATTGTACAGAGAGGAACCAGGGACGACCACAAGTGGTTGGGACCCCCTCCAGCTTGACACCATCTGCTGGCCCCAAGCCTCCTCCCCACTTCTCTCTGCCACCTACCCCACTCTGGGTACTTCCCTGTTTTCCAAAGAAGTGGGTCCCAAGCAGTGTCTGGCTACTGTCAGTGTCTGGCATCCAAGGGGCTGAACTGCCCAAGCCCACAAAACTCAGAGAGGAAAACTAGAAGCAACCCCAACTCCTCAAACCAAAAGGAGTGCAGATGTGAGCCTGGGCAGGGCAAGTGGCTGCCTGCACTGGCCAGGGCGGGAGAGGGGCTCAGGTAGGTTCTAGGGAGTCGGAGGGGTCACAGGAGCCAGATCTGCTGTAAGAAAACCACTCACCCAACCCTCCACTCTCCAGATGCATCCCTTCGGCTTTGATGGACTCAGGAGGGGGAAGCCACACAATAGAAAATGTAGCCAGCTGGAGATGGGGAGGGGGCCAGCCTTCCCCTGCCCTCACCACCCAAGGGGTGGACAATAAAGAGAAGAAGAGCAGCAGCAGTCTTGGTGCCGTGAATTGGGGGCCCAAGCGGACCTGCTCAGTCACTGAAGAGAGGAGAGGGGGGAGGGAAATTCACACACAGGAAACCACCATGAGCAGCCAGAGCCGAGAAGAAAGCTCGGAGTAGTCGGGGGACTGGGGTCCAGAAGGTCTTGGGAGTCTGAGAAGGCCCAGCTGCAGCAGGATGACAGTGATTGGTGTGCTTCAGTCGACATAAATTCACAAGTGTCATCTTTAATTCTTACAAGAACCCTGGAGGCAGGGGTTGCCATGCCCATCTTCCAGGTAGGAAACTGAGGAATCAGAGAGCTCGCTCAAGTCATGCACCCTGTAAGCGACCACAAGATTTGAACCTATATCTGCCGGGCTCTCAAAACTCAGCCACTAAAGGAGAAAGAAGCAGAGACCTGACCCAGTAGGAAGGTGACAGCATATCTCTGAGGGCGGGGCTGTGGCTTCTCTGATCTCAGGCCCCTCTCCTCAGCCCAGGCCCCGCCTCTGCTCCTCCCAGCACTGCTTGGAAGTGTGGGGCGAGAGCTCCTCCTAGGACACCCCTTCCCCTTGGGGAACGAATTATCACCCCTCCCAGACTCTACCCAGGAGAGAACGCTTTTCTCCTTCCTCATCCAGGCCCCTCTGGGGGCAGGGAGTGCCTCCACTTGCATCCCCACCCTCCTGGCCCCAGGATCCATTGGCCTGAAGTGATCAAGCTGAGATGACAGTCAAACTGGATTTCGAGGAGTGTCTTAAGGACTCACCCCGCTTCCGGTAAGTGTGCACAGGTCTGGGGGGTAGAGGAGGGGCGGCCCGACACCCCCCCTACACACACACACACACACACACACACACACACGCACACACACGCACACACACACCCTTCCCCAGGCCAGATGTCCTAGCAGGGAATAGGTCTCAAAGGGACAAGATCAAGCGTGTGGGCCAAAGCAGTACCTCTGCTACCAAACCCAGAGGTCTCTCACCCCCAGAGCTGGCATTCCATCATCCTTCCTCTCACTGGGACCCCTGCCCCTCCCCCAGCACCTGCTGTGGGCGGTTAGCAACTTCCTGCCCTTACCACATCCACCCTCCTTCTACCCTTCCTGCTCTGGCCTGGGCCACAGTAGCTCCTACACTGTGGCGTGAGCAAGCTAAAGAGGGCTGGTGGGTGGGCCTTCTTAACCCACCAGCTCTTTCTGTCTGCACCCTCCACGCTCTAACCCCAACCCCTGACCTGGCCTTGCCAAGGTGGACAGACTACACGGACCCAAGCTCTGTTCCCCTGACACCATCCCTCCTTTCCCAGAGCCTCTGTTGAGCTGGTGGAAGCTGAAGTGTCGGAATTGGAGACCCGACTGGAAAAGGTGACTCAGGGTCTGACTTTAAAATGAAGAGGGTGGGACCAGGAAGAACGTTAGAGGCAGAGAATGAGTCCCAGGGATTATTGAGTGCCAGTCGTGTGGAATAGATATTTAGGGGCAACAGAGAAGCAAAAAGGTAGTTCTATACCCTCAAGGAGCTTGGGATCTTGGGGAAAAAAGTCTCAGTTGTAGACTTACCCTGTCCGCTCTTGAGCCCTGCATTATACCAGCCCCGGGCTGTTGGGTGGAGCAAGACTCTCTGCCTCGGAGCCCGCAGACGGACTGGAGGACAAACCAGCGAAACACTCAAACACATTACAGTAAGGCCTCCCCTGGCCGCCTTTATAGAACAGCCCATGCATGTGCAGGTACAAGTACATATACTCCCCTCCTCTGAGTGGCTTTGTTTTTCTCTCTAGCATTTAGCTCAATCTGACATTATGTATTTCCCTGCTGTTTTAGGTTTCTGTTGCTGTATAATCAATTGTTACAAATTTAGTGACTTTTTAAAAAATATATTTTTATTGATTTTTTACAGAGAAGAAGGGAGAGGGATAGAGAGTTAGAAACATCGATCAGCTGCCTCCTGCACACCCCCCACTGGGGATGTGCCCGCAACCCAGGCACATGCCCTTGACCGGAATCGAACCCGGGACCCTTGAGTCCGCAGGCCGACGCTCTATCCACTGAGCCAAACCGGTCAGGGCCAAATTTAGTGACTTTAATACGTGTCTTTTGTCATAGTTTTGGTGGATCGAGAGTCGGAGCTCAGCCGATCCTCTGCTCAGGGTCTGGCAGGCTGCAGTCTCTTCGAGGCTCGGGCTTCTCTGCCAAGCTCGCAGGCTGGGGACTGAGGCCCTCCAGTCCTAGGAGCCACCAGGTCCCCGTCCGTGTGGCCCTGTCCGCAGGCAGTTTACTTCGTAGCAGCTCATTTCTTCAAGGCCAGCAGGCGAGCCTCCCTTGTGTGAGCTGGCAAGATAGTGCCAGTTTATATTACCCCTAGGGGCGAGCCCGTCACCTCTGCCATGTGGCGTAACCTAATCACAGGAGTGTCGCCCCATCGCGTTTGCCATAGTCTACGGCTAGAAGCAAGTCCCAGGTCTCTCTCACACGCAAGGGGTAGAGATCATGCCAGGGTGGGAATCACTGGGGGTCACCCTGGCATGTGTCTGTCATGCTATTTTTGCTGATATTTTTTCTTTTCTTCACTGGAATTCTAAGTATCATGAGGGACCTTTATGTTTTGTTTTTGCTCAGTCACCAGTGCCTCTACCATGGCCTGAAAGTTAGTGGATGACCAACTAATATAATATACATATATTTTAAAATGAAACCTTTTGCCCTAACTGGTTTGGCTCAGTGGATAGAGTGTCGGCCTGCGGACTGAAGGGTCCTGGGTTCGATTCCGGTCAAGGGCATGTACCTTGGTTGCAGGCACATCCCCAGTAGGGGATGTGCAGGAGGCAGCTGATCGGTGTTTCTCTCTCATCGATGTTTCTAACTCTCTATCCCTCTCCCTTCCTCTCTGTAAAAATCAATAAAAAAATATATTAAAAAAATAAATAAATAAAATGAAACCTTTTATTTGAGTAAATGATACATTCACAAGAAGTTGCAAAAACAGTACAGGGAAGTCCCACAAACCCATCACCCAGCTGCCCCCAATGGCAGCATCTTACATAACTGTGGTGTACTAACTGTGGTGTACTGCCAAAACCAGGAAATTGCAATGAACTGTCTACAGGTCTTACGTGGATTTCACCTGTTTTGCATATACCCTTAAAAAAAACTTTGTGTATAATTCAATGACACTTTATCATGTGTATAGATTCTTTTTTTCAATATATTTTTTATTATTGATAATATTACAGATATCTCCTATTATTCCCCCCTATGCTCCCCTCTGTATAGAGTCTTACAACCAGCATCACACACAAAATACAAAACTCCTATCACCACAAGGGAACTCTCTTGTATTAAGCTTTGTAATGATACCTCCCTGTCCCCTTCTCTAATCCATGACCATTCATCTGGCCTCTGTCTCTAGACTTTTGTCATTTCTAGAATGTTATATTAGTGGAATCTTACCTTATGTGACCTTTTAAGATTGACTTTTTTTCCGCCACTTAGAATAATGTCCTTGAAGTTTATTCAAATTGTTGTGTATCAGTAGTACCAGTAGTTCATTATCAATAGTTCATCTACGAATAGTTTATTCCTTTGCATTGCTGTGTACCACTCTTTTTTTTTTAAATTAAATCTTTGCCGAAACCGGTTTGGCTCAGTGGATAGAGCGTCGGCTTGCGGACTGAAGGGTCCCGGGTTCGATTCCGGTCAAGGGCATGTACCTGGGTTGCGGGCACATCCCCAGTAGGGAGTGTGCAGGAGGCAGCTGATCGATGTTTCTCTCTCATTGATGTTTCTGACTCTCTATCTCTCTCCCTTTCTCTCTGTAAAAAATCAATAAAATATATTAAAAAAAAATCTTTATTGTTCAGATTATTATATTGGTTCCTCTTTTTCCCCCCCATAACTCCCCTCCTCCCAGTTCCCACCCCACCCTCCGCCCTCACTCCCCACCCACTGTCCTCGTCCATAGGTGCACGATTTTTGTCCAATCTTTTCCCCCATACCCCACACCCCTTTCCCCGCCAAGAATAGTCAGTCCATTCCCTTTCTCTGTCCCTGATTCTATTATAATCACCAGTTCATTCTGTTCATCAGATTATTTATTCACTTGATTCTTAGATTCACTTGTTGGTAGATGCGTATTTGTTCATAATTTGTATCTTTACCTTTTTCTTCTTCTTCCTCTTCTTAAAGGATACCTTTTAGCATTTCATATAATACGGGTTTGGTGGTGATGAACTCCTTTAGCTTTTCCTTATTTGTGAAGCTCTTTATCTGACCTTCAATTCTGAATGATAGCTTTGTTGGATAAAGTAATCTTGGTTGTAGGTTCTTGGTATTCATCACTTTGAATATTTCTTGCCACTCCCTTCTGGCCTGCAAAGTTTCTGTTGAGAAATCAGCTGACAGTCGTATGGGTACTCCCTTGTAGGTAACTGCGTTTCTTTCTCTTGCTGCTTTTAAGATTCTCTCTTTGCCGAAACCGGTTTGGCTCAGTGGATAGAGCGTCGGCCTGCGGACTGAGAGGTCCCAGGTTCGATTCCGGTCAAGGGCATGTACCTGGGTTGCGGCTGATCGATGATTCTCTCTTATCGATGTTTCTGACTCTCTATCTCTCTCCCTTCCTCTCTGTAAAAAATCAATAAAATATATTAAAAAAAAAAAAAGATTCTCTCTTTGTCTTTTGCTCTTGGCATTTTAATTATGATGTGTCTTGGTGTGGTCCTCTTTGGATTCCTTTTGTTTGGGGTTCTCTGCGCTTCCTGGACTTGTAAATCTATTTCTTTCACCAGGTAGGGGAAGTTTTCTGTCATTATTTCTTCAAATAGGTTTTCAATATCTTGCTCTCTCTCATCTTCTGGCACCCCTATAATTCGTATGTTGGTACGCTTGAAGCTGTCCCAGAGGCTCCTTACACTATCTTTGTATTTTCGGATTCTTTTTTCATTTTGCTTTTCCAGTTGGGTGTTTTTTGCTTCTTCGCATTTCAAATCTTTGACTTGATTCTTGTGCTTCTCTGGTCTGCTGTTGGGAGTCTGTATAATATTCTTTATTTCAGTCAGTGTATGCTTAATTTCTAGTTGGTCCTTTATCACAACATCGAGGGTCTCATTAGAGTTCTTGTACATCTCATTAAGTTCATCGGCGGTCTCTAGAAGACTCTTGAAAGACCTCAAAAGTGTGGTTTTGAATTCTATATCCAGCAGCCTGCTTTCCTCCATTTCTGTCACTTGTGTCCTGTTTCTTTGTCTTGGCATTTTTTATGCTTCGCTGTGTCGATAGAGTGGCTTTCTGTGC